CTCGGCGCATGGTTCGCGGGCCTGCCCGTGGGCACCCGGCCGTTCGCGGACATTAGCGCGGCAAGCTCGCTGAGCACGCTGCGCTTTCTCCTCGGCCAGCTCGGCGTCAAAGACGCGGCGCTTTATCGCGCGCACGACCTGCGGCGCGGGCATGCGCTGGACCTCCAGCAGAGGGGGGGCACCTCGCGCGAGATCCTTCAAGCGGGCGAATGGTCCTCGCCGGCGTTCCTGTCGTATCTCGATATGACGCAACTAGAACTCGGCGCCGTGGTCGAGGCGCACCTGGCTGAGTCCGAGGACGAACTTGCTTAAGCAATGGCGACCCAGGCGTCGCGCGATGCCCTCGCGCGTTCATCTCCGCCGCTGCGTGTCGCAACACCGCGGCGCCGCCGCGCGCGTCGCCCGTTTCGCAAGGGGTGCGCGTGCCGCGCGCGTCGCCGCCGCGCGGTGTACCAGCGTGCATCGGCTGGGGGTGCTTGCATCCCTGGCGCCCCCGCGCGTCGGCTCAGACTGGCACCGCCAGGCTGGGCGGCGCGGGGGGTGCCGCGCCCCTTGTCAAGTGGGTGCGGGCACCCTCGGGTGCGGGGGGCTTCCGCCGCAGCTGAAATTTGTGGTGGGCGCCCAACGCCATCGAATGCGCGCGCGCTCGCTTGTGCTGCGTTGCGCGCGGGCGCAAATTTCGCGCCCGCGCGTTGCCCGCGCGCGGGCGGGCGAGCAGGGCGCGCGGACCGCCTCCCGCTTTCCTGCGCCTCGCGGCGCGCGGCCCCGCGAGAAGGGCCCGCGCGCGCGAGGGGGGCGACGGCATGTGCCTCGCGGCGCGCGGCCCCACGCGAAGGGCCCGCGCGCGCGAGGGGGGCGACGGCGTGTGCCTCGCGGCGCGCGGCCCCGCGCGAAGGGCCCGCGCGCGCGAGGGGGAAGCGACGCCATGCGCGTTGCTCGTTTGCTCTTGTGCTCGCTTCGTGTCGAACGCCCCGTGCAGGCGCGCTGCGGGGATCGCGTCGGGGCGGATCGCGGCGCGCCTCGGGGTCGTGCGGTGTGCAGGCATCGGTGCTTGCATCTTGCAGGCATGTGCGCTTGCGTCCCGCCGTGGCGGGCGGCGCGCGCGCTTTCGCCCCGCCATCCCGCTCCTGGGGATACTTGCATCCCTGGCGCCCCCGCGCGTCGGCTCAGACTGGCGCCGCCAGGCTGGGCGGCGCGGGGGGTGCCGCGCCCCTTGTCAAGTGGGTGCGGGTGCCCTCGGGTGCGGGGGGCTTCTGGCGCAGCTGAAATTTGCGGCGAAAAAGCCGACGAGACACGCGCCCCGGTCCGCTGGGCCGAAGCCCCAGGGGGAGCCCTCACGCACTGACTCACTGCGGCCTTGCATCCCTTACAGACGCGTAGGCGTATTTAAAAGTTCGGCATTCATGCGTGACGTCACAAGACAGCTATGCTTCGATGCGCAGAGGCTGCCCATTGCTGTCTGGGGCGCCCCCGGCGTCTGCGGCCAGCCCAATTTTTGGGCGCGCAGTTGCGATTGCACGCAATGCGCCTCGCGAGCGACCCGCCGGTCTCAGAAGCAATTCCCCGGTAGAGTTGCGCTTGCCGCTGGCGTAAGATTGCGAACAAAGGGTGTGATCCAGCTCTCTCCAGTGCGTTCACGTTGCTGACGCGCGAGATGTAAGAATGTGGGATCCTTACAATGCGGCGCAAACATTTGCAGTGGAATGCGTCGAGCCTGTCTCTGTCGTGCTTGAGAAGCCGCAGCGAATCCAACGAGTACAACAGCTTGCTGAGCACGCAGCTTTTTTATATGAGTATCTTGCGTCGCCAACCAACCGCGGAGTGTGTCCACAATTTAGTAAGTTGTTGAAAAACACCGCTGCCTTCTCCAAGTCGTCTCGAAAGTTCATTGCCAACGCGTCCGTCATGGTCTACGAGCCCCCCCCAAATAAATAGTTTCCTTGGCAATCTTGATCGGATCCCCACCCGGCGGTCTCACAAAGCCAACATAACCGATTTGAAGTTGCACCGTCTTGTCCCAATTCAATTCCAATCCGTACTTCCGCCCCTCTGCCACAATTGCGTCCAGCATGATCTGTAGCTTTCCTTCATGTTGAGATGTCAACGCAGTGTCGTCGGCGTGCAGAATATCCCTAGAGACCACGTAGCCTGATCTTGTTGAAGGCGCAGGTCCGACAGAGCGTCCTGAATCATCACCGTCTGCACAATAATAAATAAATACGGTGACAACGGGCATCCCTGTGCAATGCCGGCAGCTTGGCGTCGTTGCGAAGATGTACCACAATGGTCTAGTATAGTGGAATACCTGCGCGAATAAATTCTTCTCACCATTTGCGCGAAAGGTTGCGGTAGCCCAATTCTTGTCAAAGCTGCGCGCGAACACTCTTGCTTCAATCGGTCGAACGCCTTGGCCCAATCAAGGAGAAACAAAATAATGCCACCGTTATTATTCATCAGCGTTGCGTCGACCATGCGCCTCACGAGCATGAGCGCGTCGGCGGTGCCCCGGCGAGGCCGGAATCCAAACTGTGAGTGTCGTAATCGATCTTCTGCGCCTCCTTGAAGCAGTCGCTGATGCAACATCGCCGCGAGGGCTTTGTATCCCACCGAGAGCAACGAGATCGGACGATAGTTGCTTGGTAAAGTTGCGTCTCTTTTCTTGAAAAGCAAGATGACATTCGCCATGCGCCGTTTTTCCGGTATGTCTTTCTGGGGCCAACATCGTTGACAAACGTGCAACAGTGCTTGGCAAGCGTGTACATCTGTAGATACAACCTTCCACAAATCTGGTGGTACGTCATCAGGGCCAGCTGCTTTTCCGTTCTTCATCTTTCTCAACACGAAAATCAGTTCGTTCAATGTAAATTGACGCACGTCTATGGACAACTCTGTTCCAAGAGGGCGGGTAGCTGTAGGAACCACCTCTGGGAAAGTAACTTGCCACTGCACTTTCTCGAAGTAGTCGGCCAACGCATCCGGGCGGCTCGCGGTATTGGTCAAGTTGTTGATCATGTCCCTGACTCCAGCGTGCTTTTGTCTGAGGCTTCTTCCGTAGCTGTTTGACTGCGCCCCAGTTCCCCCCCGCCAGAGAATCGTTCATCCAAGTTGTGCGGTCAGCCCGCGCTGCCTTCCGGATCGCCTTGTTGAGAGAGCTCTCGTTGCGAGCGTCGCCCATTCGCCTGAAATTGTTCCTTTGTTCGATGACATCCAAAGTAGCCTGCGATATCCAAGGTCGCCGGGCCGGCTGAGCCCTGCGAGGCGACGTATCTGCAGCAGCACCAAACGCATCTTCGATTTGCTCCACAGCTTCGTCAAGGGAACAACTTGCAACGCTAAAAGATTGCCACTTGCTGTAAAAACGCTTCGTGAAATCGATCTGCAAGGCCGGGTCCCGCGCCGAAGCTTTGTCGACATAGGTTCGTGTATGCGCCGCCGAAGCCTGAAAGTGTAAACCAAGTTCCGCCGTCAATTAATAATGGTGGTTGTTCAGAGCAACGCCCCGGTGCGTTCTGCAGAGCTTCACCCAAGGAAGCATAGAGGTATGACAAAGCACATGGTCGATCTGAGCGAACTTATCTGGCGAAATATCGTCGTCCATTGGGGCCGCGCCAAGATCCCTGTATGTAACTCGCTGATCGTCCGGAATGTCAAAAAACGTATTCGCAATAACCATGTCCGTAGCGACACAATGTTCATCAGAAGTTGCCTGTTTGATGTGCTTGTCAAATGTACGGAACTATGAAGATAATCAGCAAGACAGAGATGTGGACCAATGTATTGCTCTTCGCCGGGATGTTGCTGGAGTAACTTGGCGTTGAAGTCGCCCAATGCAAACGTAGTGCTGTGTTGCGTCGTCGGCCGTACTGTTTCCAGCAATTCTGCGAAGAAAGACTGGCGGACATCGTAATCGTACTTGCTCTGTGGGGCGTAGGCCGACACGACCGTCAAAATGCCATGTTGCATTCTGATTCGTAAAGACGCCAATCGTGGTGATACCGCCCGGAACGCTACTATAGCAGAACGGGCCCATGGAGCAACGATGAAGCCGACCCCCGCTACAGAGCGTTTTGCGTCGTCAGGCTCCCCAGATAAGCAAACCATAAACCCATCGTAATCGTAATGCTCGGAACCGTGTAACTGAGTCTCCTGTATGGCCAAGACGGCGATGCGATGGGCAGCCATTACTACAGTTACTTCAGACAACTTGACATATGAATCCCCACGGAGGCCTTCGACATTCCAAGTGCCAAACATCTGCGTGCGAAGTGGTTGACATTCTCGTCGAGGCTGGAACCGCGTGTGCAGCCGCGTGGAAGAGTGAGACAATGAAGCTGGACAAATGGAGGAATAAATCGTAGCACAAGGAGTTGGGGACATAGAGGATGAAGATGAATATGTAAAAAAAGATGAAGCATGTAGGTGTAGCGGCCTGGTATATTTGCCCGTGCCTGCCTTAGAAAATGAGCGCGGCTCCGTAGCTGAAGGCGCAGCGGTATCTTTGCCCGAGAGACGCCCAATACTAGGAACAGCAAGCTGAAAAATATGCGGTCCATCGCTGCAGGCTCTCATGCCAGGCTGGACTGACAGATGCCGCGTTTCCTAATGCCCTTTCGATTTCCCTTTCGGCTGGCCCTTCGTGCCGCCAAGGGACCGAGTAAGTAAAGCACTGCATTTATCTTCCAGCTCCTTGAGGCCTTCGTGTTCTTGGAGTTCCTTCCAAAGAGCCAAAAACCACGAGACTTCCAGCGCGGCAGGCACCCCATGCGGCAAGACCGCAGGGGGTGGCGGATGACGAAAAGCGCGCGTAGCGTCGCGATATGTGAGCCGGGAGACATACCAAGGGGCGCGCGGGGTGGTAGGCAGCCCCTGCCCCAGATCGAACGGCCCAAGACAGCCCCAAAAGCGCCCAAGACAGCCCCAAAAGACACCCCAACATTGCCAGATCGAACGGCCCAAGACTGCCAGATCGAACTGCCAGATCGACGGCCCGAGAGGAAGAGCACCAGATCGAACGGCCCAAGACAGCCCCAAAAGGCGCCTAAGAGGCCCCCAATATGGCCCAAAACAGCCCCTCCGTAGCCATTTTGGCTCAAGAGTGCATGTCGAATGCCATGTGCGAGCGCATAGTTGTAAACGCTTGAATCATGTGCAGTTCTGGCTGAGTCAGAAGAACTCGTGTTGAGCGAACGAGCGAGCTTGTTTTGGATTTCGGCAGAAGATGGCCTTGGCTGGCTCCACCCCGCGGTTTGTCTTCCGCGGGTGCTCGCCAGAGGAGCGTGATCCTCGCCAAACAGGCCTCCGCGCGAGGACGCCAGAGGTGCCGACGCCCGTTCGGGATGCCATCGAGAACGGCAAAGGTCCAAGCTGTTTTGTGCACGCTAGCAGATCGGCCGTCACCGCCATATATTACGCAACGAGCGGCACCAACTTCCTGGATGGCGTCGTGGTGAAAATAGACCTTGGGCACGAGGCTCTGATTGGCAAGGTCATCGACGTTTCGACGCAGGATGGGGCGCGGCTCCAAGGGTTGACAGTTGAAAATAAGGGCTACACATTCGCTGTGATGCATCGCGAAATCCTGGTGAACTGCGCGGTGCCGGCTTCTGCAATTGTAGGGATTTTTCGGGTTCGCTTGCCTACCAGTTTCGGGCCTTTCAATTCGGTGCAAGACTTCCTGGATGAGTTCTCAAGAAACATGGACCGGAAACCCGCGGAGGACGCGATTGTGACGCAGTGGTATGGAGTAGACGCGTTCTACGTGGACGAGCAGGCCGACCGCTACCACTTCTCGAACAGGTGCTTTTACTGCGAGCCTCGGGCGGAGGGTGTGCCTGGGGAGGCCCCGCAGAAAGCACTCCGGGCTTGCAAAATGTGCCTGATGCGCGGAGCAAGCGAGTTTCTCTTGCAAGAGCCGCCGCAGCAACAGCCGCCGCAGCAAGCGCAACCCCAGACGAGGACATATTACATCACGAGGACTGGGAAGAAGTTCCATGTCAGGGCAGACTGCGACGGGCTCCGGAACGCCGCAAGAATCTTGTCGACGAACGAGCGGCACCCTCTGAACCTTCAAGGAAAAAGGCTTTCTCCGTGCAACTTGTGCGCCAGATGAGCCGTGGGCTGTACAATCTCACTTGGCAGCCGTGCAGTACTATGATAGTATCATTTTATACAAAAACTCAGCGAACATTATCCTGGCGATGGACTTAACCATATGCAGTTACGAGTACCGCAAAGCAGGTTGCACGAATGAGAGGGAACTCCCTATGGGGCCACGAAGCGTGTGAGGAATGTGCCGAAATGGGTGCGGTGCCGCCATGCGAACGCAGCCACGGGGGCCCTCGGTGGAGCTCCCTATGGGGCCACGAAGCGTGTGAGGGGTGTGCCGAAATGGGTGCGGTGCCGCCATGCGAACGCATGCACTGGAGCCCTCGGTGGGGCTCCCTCAGGGGCCACGAAACGTGTGAGGGGTGTGCCGAGATGGGTGCGGTGCCGCCATGCGAACGCAGCCATTGGGGCCCTCGGTGGAGCTCCTTATGGGGCCACGAACTGGGAGCGCGTACGCAGCGTACTTTACGAGGGGTCGTGGCCCTGGGAGCGCGACGTCAGCGTAATTTACGAGGGATCGCGGCAGTGGGAGCGCGGACGCTGCGTAATTTGCAAAGGATAGTGGCCCTGTGAGCGCGGACGCAGCGTAAATTATTTGGGATCGTGGCCCTTGGAGTGCGGGCGCAGCGTAATCAAAGAGGGGTCGGGGCCCTGGGAGCTCGACCCCAGTGTAATCTACGAGGGATCGGGGCCCTTGCAGCGCGGGCGCAGTGTGAATTGTTAAGGTTCGTGGCCTGGAATGCGGACGCATCGTAATTTCTGAGAGGTCGTGACAGCTGGAGCGGGGGCGCAGCGTGATTTTGGAGCACGTTCTTTGGCCCGTTCCATGGGGCGTCCCTTGGCGAGTCCCCCTGGCACGTCGCGTGGCGCGTCCCCTGGCACATCCCGTGGCACATCCATTGGCACGTTCCGTAGCGCGTCCCTTTGGCACGTCCCGCGGTGCGGCCCCCCTGGCACGTCCCCTGGCACGTCGCCTGGCGCGTCCTTTGGGACGTTTCGCGGCGCGTCCTCCTGGCATGCCCCCCTGTCAATTAGCTCTGGGGCAGCTACTATTTGTTCAGGCAGCCCGAGCTTAAGATCCAGATCAGTTCGGTCAGGACTCGGATGCAAAGGAGGACTCGATCCACAATGCTATAGAGCACAACCGCGGCATGACACATCGCAGTTCAGCACGGTGCAGCACAGCACAGCCCTCGGCAGGGTACATCAAGATCGATACACTCAGCATTGCGTTTGCCCGTCATCCAATCAGGTGTCTTTGAAACCGTTGCCACGCGTTACATTTTTGTATTCCTTTCCGGGTTCCTGGGTCGATCGTGCTTTTCATGCGTCCATGTTGCCCAGGCAGGTTTCTAGCATGAGGCGGTGATGAGAGCGTTTCGAGCGAGACGCTTGGTTTTCACTTGCCCAGGTCGCCCAGGCGGATGTCTGACATGAGGATGCGTTGATGGTGTCTCGAGCGAAACGCTTGGTTTCACGTGTCCAGGTGGTCAGGCGGATGTCTATGTGTTGAGGATGGCCCGAGTGAAACGCTTGTCGTAGTAGAGTGCATCGCAGTCCAGCCCCGCCCGCCCGTGGGACGTCCCATGGCGCGCTGGCGCGACCCCTCGCGACGTTCTAGCGTGACTTGCCCTGGCGCGCCCCCGAGCACGCCACTCGGCGTGGCACGTTCCCTGGCCCGTCCTCTGTCGTGTTTCCTGGCTCGTTCCCAGGCGTTTCTCCTGCCCGTGCCGTGGCGCGTCCCTTGCAACGTCCCTTGGCATGACGTCCTCTGGCCGTCCCATGGCACGCGCCTTGGCACGTCCCGTGCCAGATCCCTGACACGTTCAGGGCACGTCACGAGGGATCGTGGCCGTGGGAGCGCGGACGCAGCGTAATTCACGAGGGATCGTGGCCCTGGGAGCGCGGACGCAGCGTAATTTAGATGGGGTCCTGGCCCTGGGGGGCGGCCGCAGTTACTTTACCAGGGATCGTGACCCTGGGAACGCGGACACTGAGTAATTCACGAGGGAGCGCGGACCTGCGAGCGCGGACGCAGCGTAATGTACGATGGATCGTGGCCGAGGGAGCGCGGACGCATGGCAATTTACGAGGGATCGCGGACTCAGCGTAATTTATGATGGCTCGTGGCCCTGGCAGCGCGGAGGCAGCGTAATTTACATTGGATCGTGGCCCTGGGGCGGCGGACACAGTGTAATTTACTAAGGAACTTGGCCCTGGGAGCGCGGACACTGCGGAATTCACGAGGGAACGCTGCCCTGGGAGCGCGGACGCAGCATAGTTTATGAGGGACCGTGGCCCAGGGAGAGCGGACGCAATGTAATTCACGAGGGATCGTGGCCCTGGGATTGCGGACGCAGTGTAATTTACGATGTATCATGGCCTTGGGGGCGCGGACGCAGTGTAATTTACACGGGATCCTGGCCCTGGGTCAGGGACGTCCCGTTGCACGTTCCCTGACGCGTTGCCTGGCATGTTCCTTGGCGCGTCGCCTGGCACGTTCCCTGGCACGTTCTGTGTCGCGTCCCGTGGTGAGTCCCCCTGACGCGTCGCGCGGCGCGTCCCCTGGCACGTCCCGCGGCACGTCCATTGGCATGTTCCGTAGCGCGTCCCCTTGGCACATCCCGCGGTGCGTCCCCATGGCGCTTCCCCTGGCACGTTCCCTGGCACGTCCCTTGGGACGTTCCGCTGCGCGTCCCCCTGGCATGTCCCCCTGTCAATTAGCTCTGGGGCAGCAACAGTATTTGTGCTGAGGCAGCTCGAGCTGAAGATCCAGATCAGTTCGGTCAGGACTCAGATGCAAAGGATGACTCGATCCACAACGCTATAGAACACAATCGCGGCATGGCACATCGCAGTTCAGCACGGCGCAGCACAGCACAGCCCTCGGCAGGGTACATCAAGAGCGATACACTCAGCATTGCAATTGCCCGTCGCCCAATCAGGTGTCTGCCGTGCCTCACATCTCTATATTCCTTCCCGGGCTCGTGGGTCGACCATGCTTTGTTTCACGGTGCGAGGAACGGGCGCCGTGAGACAACTCAACGGCTCAGGAGTTCCCCGCGCAGTGGGGCGTCTTCGAGCACTGGGACGACCTGGAGGCGCCCCGCAACGCGGTGCTTGTGAGCTGCCCGTCCATGCTGGACCCCGAGCTGGCCCCGCCAGGCGGGCGCTGCTGCGGCGCCGGTGGGAGGACGGAGGGCTGCGGCGGCGGACGCTGGAATTCGCCAGGGGGGGAACGGGTCTCTCAGGAGGGAAAAAGACATACAGACACAATCAATCGTCGATCCCCTAGAAAATATGGGAAAATATGGGAAGTGGGGGGGAGAACAAAAACCAAGAAATTATGGGAACATATGGGGAATCATGTTATTTGTGTGTATTTCTTTGTGTGTCCCAGGGCCCCTTCATCCTGAGAGAAGCGGCTTCGTGGGGGCCGCCAGCACCTATCCGGCCGTGCCCGTGCAGCGTTGTAGCACCTCACTAGTTGGCATCAGCAGGTTGTTTTCGACGTCTGATGGCGCGCGCTTCTGCAGCTTCTCTGTGCGTGTCGGTATCTGCCAGGACCCGCTGCAAAGGGGTCCTGAGGTGCCTCGCCGTTTTCGGGCTCTCGTCAGGAGGGACAACACCACAGACACACCACAGACACAAGTAATCGTCGGCTCCCTGGAAAATATGGGAAACATGGGAAGTGGGGGGAAGACGAAAACCCTGAACATACGCGAAAAGATTGGGAGTCCTGGAATGTGTGTGTTCATTTGTTTGTGTGTTCCTGGGCCCCTTTATCTCGGGGCCCTCCACGGGCCTCTGGGCCGTCAGGGAACGACTCAGGATGGAGAATTGGTCCTGGGGGGAGGCTTAAGTCGGGCCTGTCCCTCTACAGGGGGAATATTACCAAAACGTATGTTTTCTTTCATTTTTCGATTAGTTGACTGGTATTTTTTTCGCCTGGAAAGGGCGTGGGCCCAGGGTTCTCTTTTAGTAGGAAATATTTGCGATCACTTACAAGGTAAAGTGTGAATTTGCAGTTGAACAAGTGCGTTTCTCGCGTGCCCGCTCGAGGAAAGTTTGCCCCCCATCTCGGATCCTCGATAAATAACCGTGTCCGCAGACCCCCGTTTTCCTTTGTAAAACGGAGGGGCGGGGCATTTTTAGCATAATCCTCGGAACAGAAAACCGAGGTCTGGAGCCCCGACCGCGACGCGGAAAAGCGTCATGCGCGCAGGAATTCCGAGGATGTCTCGCGCGTGCCGCGTCCCGCGCGCAGGAATTCGAGGATGTATCGACTGATTCGCTCGTTTTTCAAGATGTTTTTGTTGTTGAAACCGACGCACACAGGTCTGCCCGAGCTGGAACCACGTCGCTTCACGTGTCCAGGGCACCCAGGTGGGTGTCTAACATGGTGGTCCCGAGCTGGTACCATGTTTTCCCGTGTCCAGGCCACACAGGTGGGTATCTAACATGGTGGTCCCGCGCTGGAGCCACGTGCTTTCACGTGTACAGGCCACCGAGGTGGGTATCTAACATGTTGGTCCCGAGCTGGCACCATGTGTGTTCACCTGTCGAGACCACCCATGGGGGTGTCTAAGATGGTGGTCCCGCGCTGGAACCACGTGTTTTCACGTGCCCAGGTCGCCCAGAGGGTGTATGTAGCATGGTGGCCCCGCGTTGGAACCGCGTGTTTTCACCTGTCCACGCCACCCAGGGGGGTATCTAATATGGTGGTCCCGGGCTGGAGCCACGTGTTTTACGTGTCCAAGCTTTATTCCAGAGCGCCATTTCTGGTACGCTAATCATGCCAATCCATGAGACTCTTGTAAGTGTTGTTGAAGAACGAATGTGCGCGGCACTAAGACGAGAGCCACAATTTGAAAAGGAGCCGCCCTCCATTTGTGACACTCTTACAATTTTTTAGACGAAAGCGCGTGGCGTTAAGGTGAGAGCAACATTTTGAAAACGGCACGCCCTCAATCCATGTACCTCTTAGTTTTTTACAGACGAATGCGCGCGGCGCGAATGCGAGAGCCACATAAAAAACCGATCGCCCTCAATCCTGGAATCTCTTGCACTTTTTAAGACGATTGTTCGCGGCGCTAAGGCGATAGCCACATTTTGAAAACCACCCGACCTCTATTTGTAAAAGTGTTGCTAATTCTGAGCGTTCAGGATCATAACTTATGAGGAAGTCTCAGTCGAAACGCCCGGTCCGCCTTTTCGACCAGCCTCGGGGTGCAATGGGGAGAAGTTATTTAGAAGGAAAAGAATGGAGGAGGAGAAGGAGGAGGAGAAGGAGGAGGAGAATGAGGAGTAGGAAGAGGAGGAGGAGGAGGAGGAAGAGAACGAGGAGAAGGAAGAGGAGGAGGAGGAGGAGGAGGAGGAGGAGGAGGAGGAGGAGGAGGAGGAATGAAGGGGCAGCCCGGGGCCAGTGCGCCCGCGGCCGCAGGCTACCACTGCCTTCACGCCTACACGCCGGCCACTGAGCCGTGGGAGGACTGGAAGGACCTCAAGGAGGGCTCGGAGGAGTACCTCCGCAAGAAGGACTCCCTGCGCCCCCCGCTGGCTCCCTGGGTGGCCACCCTTCCAAGGCCAGGAGCTCCTGCTCAGCGTGACTTGCAAGAGGAAGAGGTGCCGACGCCGCTGCCCTTCCCTCGTCGCCACCGCTGGTCTCGCCTCGAAGTTCTAGTCAGAGCGAACTCCTGGGGAGGTCTTGGGAGTAGCGGTGTCGGTACAGCCGGGGCCCTGAAGAACGACCCTTTTCGTTGGGGAGGGGCTCGGTGTTCCTTGATCGTTCTACATTTTGCCCTCTGTTTTCCTCAGGTTTTCCATGGGAAATCGAAGTTCAACTTATGGGAGAAAGGGGCCCCGTTCCTTATTTAGGGTTCCTTGGGTCAACGCCCCGACTGTACTGGCCCTCCGCGCTGCTGAGCCTTTGCCAGCCTCCAGCCCGTCGTACCGGAGCGACACGCCATCAGTTTGCAGGGCATAGCGTGTCGCCAGGGCCGCCGCCGCGACACGTTGAGCAGAATCTCCTGACCGTAGGTCACCCGCCGCGGCGCCAAGATAGCTCCGTTTCGTTTTTTCGGTCCAGGCCAGATAGTACGCCGCGGTTCGCGCCGTGCGCAGCGCTGAGCTCGACGTGAGGTGACCTGGAGACTCTCCTTCTTCCTCCTTCTTTCAGCCCTCGTCGCTACCCCTCCTCGTTCCTCCTGCTGCCTTCCCCCTCTCACCCTCCTCTGTACCCTGGAGGTTGCGCGGACCCCGGGAGACCCCCGGCCCCTCGCAAAGCCGGCGCGGCCTCCCGGGCCCGTCCGGGCCAGGTGGCGCGGGGCAGGGCGGCGACGCAACCTAGCAGCGAGCGCACGGCAACTGTATTGAAACGAAGCCCGGAACGGGGGGACAACACCGGATCGGGATAGATCGGGGGTCTCTGAGACCCGGCGGTTCTTTTGGAGGACGTACCGGGTGCCGCGGAGTTCCAGAGCCTCTTGGAACTCTCCGAGAGCGTTCTGAAACGCTCTGGAGCGATTGATCCCGAACCTGGGCCCGATTCATACACAACCCGCACTGGTGCTAGATACTCAACGTTCTCCGCGCCCCTCCTGCCCGTTCTCTCCGTCTGCTCCTCCACCCGCCCTTCTCGTCCTCCTCCTCCCCCTCCTCCTCCTCCTCCTCCTCCTCCTCCTGCTCCCCCTCCTCCCCCTCTGTTCCGCCGCGTTTTCCTTCCCCCTCCACCCTTTCCGTCTTCCACCTCGGACACTTCCCCGTCCTTCGCCCGAGCTTCTTCGCCGCGCCCCCCCCTTCTCCCCCTCCCCTCCTCCCTCCCTGCCGCTCTCCGCCTCGTGCCCCGCCCTCTCCCCTCTCTCTTCTCCTCCCGCTCCCGGCCCCGCTCCTCTGCCTCCGCTCCCTCTGCCGCCTCGCCCGCCTGTCCCGCCCGCCAGGAGGACGCGAAGGAGTTCCTCCTGAGGGCCGTCGAGAAGCAGGTCCCCGACATCCGCGAGCGGATCGTGCTGGAGATGGTGGATCGGCCCGGCCCGGGGAGCACGCCGGGAACGGGGGTGGTGGTAGGACTGGAGGCGAAGGGGGAGGAGGAGGAGGAGGAGGCGGAGGAGGAGGAGGAGGAGGAGGAGGAGGAGGAGGAGGAGAGGAGAAGAGGAGGAGGAAGAGGAGGAGGAGGAGAGGAGGCGAAGAGGAGGAGGAGCAGGAGGAGGAGGAGGAGGAGGAGGAGGAGGAGGAGGAGGAGGAGGAGGAGGGGGAGGAATGAGGGGGAGGATGGGATTGCCATGGCCGCGGAAGGCCCCCGAAACAGCCAGCACTCTGAGACACCATGGTCAAACTGAGTACGCGGGGGCTTGCTCCAGAAACCTTCGGACGTCGTTTGCAGCGTCAGAAGTCCGCGATCGACTCATTACCCACACCCGTGCAGCTGGCCCCACTCGTCGTCAAAGGGTAGAGTATGGATACAAGGCGTTGTTCTCCACGGGCTCGATCTGCTATCCGTACCGCCTGGAAAGCTGGAGCGGAAGCAGGGCAACAAGCAAAGGTGTGTGTGGGCACTCATCATGGATCCAGGCGCTAGAGAGGCCCAGGATGGTCTGCCTTGTTACCCGTGACAAAGACTTTGACAGTAGGACACGCGGGCGGGCGTGAGTGGCCCGCTGCCCATCATGACACTCTGGCACCCGTGTGCAGGCCGACGCTGAGAGCCGGGCGGCGAGGGCCGCCTCTCCGGCCCCTGAGCGTGGTGACGTCGCGATGCAAGGTGGCCAGCACAAGCCTGGACCCGGCATCGCTTGTCCTGCCCTCATCCCCACACTGCCATGGTGTCTCGGCCCCATCCCACCCCCCCAGTCGGGGATACGCCCCTCGAACCCCGACGAGGGTAACCCATATCCGATGCCCCCAGTTCGCGGGGCAACTCGGCCAGTGGGACCAAGGCCGCGCCAGTGGAGATAGGCATGGGTTCAACGACGGCCACTGACTGCACGGATGCGCCGTCGACCGCCCACCGAAAACTCATCCCCGCGGCGCCCGCGGCCGCCGCCTCTGCCGCCGCGTTTCCGCGCTCGCTCTTGGCCTCAAGAGGGCGTTTGAGGCCGCGCTGCCGAGGCTCCGCGCTGCGGCGCCGCCCTCGCCGTCCTCCTCTGCCGCCGCCGTCGTCGCCGTCGCCGCCGTCGCCGTCGCCGTCGCCGTCGGCGTTGCCGAGGCCGCCGTCGCCGCCGCCGCCGTCGGCGTCGACGCGGCGCCGCCACGACGCCGCCAGGGCGCCGCCAGGCCGCCCGCCGCTCTCGTCGCCGTCGCCGCCGCCCTCGTCGTCGCAGTCGCCGTCGCCGCCCTCGTCGTCGGCCTTCCCGCTGCCGCTGCTCGTCGCCGCCCCCGGAGCCGGCGTTAGGTGGGCACGCCGCTGACGCATAGGCGCTTCCTGCGCAAGCCGTCGGGCACCTACGGGCCCAGGCCACCGCCCGCGCCCGCGGCTGGCTCGGGCTGGTCGAGGGTTCAACGCTCGGCTTCGAGAGCAGAATCATGGTAACCATGTCCAAGATGTCGCGGGATCTTGTCGATGCAGTTTTTGGGCATGATGCATGCCAGCCGTCGCCGATTCGCGAGGACCAACAAACTGACGATGACCAAGATGGACGGTGACCACGATCGACACAGACGTTTCCGCGTTCAGTCTTTGTCATGGTCATCGTTTTTCTTCCCTTCACTGACTGAGTAAACGAGGGTTAAAACAGCTAGCGTGTTTCCATCCTCGATGTTTTTTGTCATGCCCAGTTTGTCTTTTTCGCCTCGTTATCTGTTCCACGCCCGTGTTTTTATCATTCTGGGGGTTGTTTCACCCGGTGCTCTCCATTTAGGTTTTCGTTGAATTTGATTTTCTCGGGCATGAATATGGTTGATCCTCTCCCACTTGTGCCCATGGTGTTGGCACGAGACGACTTCACAATTTACTCACGAGTCATGCTCTCGTCGCCTGACGCTTCGCGTACCTCCACCAGCCCACCAGCAACGAGGACCAGGCGACTTGCATGGATCAGGGAAAAGCGGGAGCACGCAGTGGAAAGAAGACGGGCAGCTGCCAAACCGAAGACAGGGATCTGCCCGAGGCCCACGAGTCAACTATAAAAGCCTTCGTGGATATTTTGAAAAAGTTTAAAATAGTCAAACCATGCAACATGATCAAGCATATTCGCAAGATCGTCTCCAGACTTTTAAACACATATTTTTGAATCTTCCTCCTGTAGAGGGACACGCCCGACTGAATATGAGAGCCTCTTGGCATGCCAGGTTGCCCAGTCCATCTTGGGGCACGGCCGGGGTTACATGTTGGATGTCTTTGGGGCTCCTGGGGAATCCCTCCCCGAAGGAGAAGAACCAGGAGGGAAGGAAACACACAGACACAATGCATCGTCGGCTCCGAGGAAAGTATGGGAAAATATAGGAAGTGTGGGGGGGAAGACGAGCACCCAGAAGATATTGGGAACTATGGGGAATCCTGGGATTTGTGTGTATTGATTTGTGTGCCCCTGGGCCCCTTTTAAGAACCAGGTCGGGAGAAGAATCGATCTAACCCCCCGAAAGGGCTGGTGGGATCTACGAAGTTCGTTCCAGTGTTCCGCCCGCCCGACCCGCCCGTGGGGCCCGCCCGACCGATCCGTCGTGAGGGTCCGCCCTCCCGACCTGCCTGCCAGGGTCCGCCCGTTCGGCTGTTCAGAAGCCAGCCCGCCCGTTTCAGTGTCCCGCCCGGCCCGTCCGTCACTTGGGCCGTCCCCCTTCCGTCGCCTTCGCCTGATCCCTCGTGCTTGCTTCTGCCTGTCGCCCTTCCTGCTGCCGCTCTGGGCCTTCGCTGTGGTCCTTGCACGTCTGCTCCAGGGTCCTCGCGGCGTCGTTCCTCGTGGTCTGCCATTGCTGCTCAGCGTTTGGGTGCGCACCCGTGCGTTTCCCTACTGCATGTCCCCCTGCAGGAGGAATATTCAAACTTAGTGAAGCAATAGCCTGTTTTTTGAATGTGTATATATATATATGTACATGCTTGAGTATTTTTGGGACTTTTATTTTGGTCCCGAATCAGCCTGTAGGAGGACATGCCCGACCTGACACGAAGTTCGATTACCTTTTCCCGCCCGTTCCCTCTCTCGGCTGCTCAGCCGCCCTCCGAGGGGCGCCCGCACGGCGCGGCTCCCGTGGGCGAGAGCCCTGGACGCCTCTGTGGCCTCTGCAGCACTTCTGGGCGCCTCTCCGACGAATTCCGTCGCGTCGTTACGCACGTGGGCGCGACGCCAAGCGTGCGCGCGCGGGCGTGTGTGTGTGTGTGTGTGTGTGTGTGTGTGTGTGTGTGTGTGTGTGTATGTGTGTGTGTGTGTGTGTGTGTGTGCGTGCGTGCGTGCGTGCGTGCGTGCGTGCGTGCGTGCGTGCGTGCGTGCGCGTGTGTGTGTGTGTGTGTGTGTGTGTGTGTGCGTGTGTGTGTGTGTGTGTGTGTGTGTGTGTGTGTCTGTGTGTCTGTGTGTCTGTGTCTGCGTCTGTGTGTGGCGCAGTTCAGTACAGCCTGTGCCGGCGCTGCTCCCCCCCCTGGCGCTCCCCCCGCCGCTGCCGGCAGCTCTGAGTGGCCCGGCTTCCTCTCCCCGTCGCGCCAGTGCTCCTCCTCCTTCCGTGAATTGCGGCCCTAATTTGCATACAGCGTGTCCCTTGTTGCCTATCCGCCGGAGCAGTCGACCTCTGCCCAGCCGCCGACGCAAAATGTGAGTGTATGTGTGTGTGTGTGTGTGCGTGTGTGCGTTCCCACGCCAGCAGCGGGAAACACAAACGTAATACATCGTGCTCCTCATCGTCACGTCGCTGCTCATCTTAGGGGAGGGGGGGAGGAGGAAGAAAGAGGAGGTAGGAGGAGGAGGACGAGGAAGAGGAGGAGGCGGAGGAGGAGGAGGAGGAGGAGGAGGAGGAGGGGGAGGGGGAGGGGGAGGTGGAGGGGGAGGGGGAGGAGGACAATCTAGGTGCGCTCGCGTCATGTCTGACATCCTACCCCTCCCTCCCATCCCTTACCATGGCGTAGATCCCCTCTCTACTCGCACAGTCGGATGTCGAGCAGGGCAATGATTCCGAAAGGGTACGCGATGCATTGTAGAGCACGGCGTGGCATGGCGTAGCAGAGCACCGCGAAGCGTAGTATGTCACAGCATGGCGTGGCGCGGCGTAGTGAAGAGTTGCATCACAAAACTTTGCAACGCAAAGCATGGCATCGCACAGCGGCGCCGAACATAACATTGCATAGCATGGCGTTGAAGATCAAAACGTAGCATGGCATAGCACGACGTGGCACTTAAGCACTGCATATCACAGCTTCAATTGAAGGCATGGCATCGTGCAGCGGAACGCAACCTATCATTGCATTGCATGCCGTGGCATGGCACGGGAAATGACGCCAGCGTTGTAGCGGGAGCACGATTCGGAACGAGCGGAAGCGCGGAAATGAGGCCAGCGCTGCAGCGGGAGCACGAGTCGGAACGAGCGGAAGTACGGAAATGAGGCCAGTGCTGCAGCGGGAGCGCGATTCGGAACGAGCGGGGCCCGAAAATGAGGCCGGCGCCTCAGCGAGAGCAGCATTTTGAAAAAATGCAGGCGAAAACCCAACTCCGGGGAATCCTGTGTGTAAAAAAACAGTGCGCGGGGGGGGGCGAACACTCCCAACCCGTCATCAGGGGAAGGAGGAGAGTAGTATTCATATTGAGTAATTGTGGAGGAGGAGGCGGAGGAGGAGGAGGCGGAGGAGGAGGAGGCGGAGGAGGAGGAGGAGGAGGAGCAAAAGGAGGCCTGCTGATTCTGTTGCACGCGTTTGCCACTTGCTGGACCCGCGTGCGAGGGGGAGGATTAGGAGAACGGAGGATGAAAAAGGGGGAGGAGGATCAATGCGCTTGGTCGTATTTGGGCTCATCTAGGGGGGCTCGGTGTCTTCGGTGGCCTCCAGCCTCCTCCTCCTCCTCCTCCTCCTCCTCTTCCTCCTCCTCCTCTCTCTGGCTTTCTCCTCTCAGGAGAAGGGGAGGGAGAGCCTCGTGCCTTCGGCTCCCGCGTGCCCGCCCATCAACTGCCGGGCGTGCGTCTGCGGCCCATGCGCGCCAACGCGCCCCGCCCCTCTAGGATTGACTGGCGACTGCTTCGGCGCTTCGAAGGAGGGGGGACCTGAGTAGGTCGTCCTCCACTGGCGCGAAGGTGTCGCTCTCCTCCTCCTCCTCCTCCTCCTCCTCCTCCTCCTCCTCAACCCTCTTGGCTCTCCCACGAAAGATCAGGCTGCTCAGGAAGAGAGGGGAGCTCAGGCATGCATCCCCAGAGGGGGCTATTTTCGGACGCACCCGCATCGAGGATGGGCGCCGCTCTAGTGATCGTTTTTTATTTCTTGTTTTGCCGATCGGCGCGGGCCCTCGCACCCCCCCTCCCCCCCCCTGGAGTTGATCTTGGCTGTTTTTGGCGCCTGTTTTGAGCAGGTGGAGCCTCTTCCCCATAGGATGCACCGTCGCAAACAGTCGCACTAAGCAGAGGTCTGGAGCCAGACCCCCCCCTCCCTGGAGCCAGATCCCCCCCCCTTTCCGCCCAATGTCGAAACGCCGAATAAGAAAACGCTCACCTATCGTGTACCTCCGAGTTGGGGGCAAGTTCTTGGTCCGTTCGACGCCCCACGAAGTCGGGGGCACGGGTCGACAAGTCCCCTAAGGTGGGGGCGTTGGTCAAGGAACGTGCACGGGAGGCTTCAGACCCTGGAGGGTCCCTTATCTGATGAGGGCGGCGGCAAGATCCACTGCCAAGTCGCGATTGGAGTTGCTTTGGGTTGAGAGGAGCGCGCGGAGGCCGCCCGTTCGCGAGCGGTGGGCCCCAGCCAACGCGAGGTGTGCAGATCATCGCGGCCTGGGTGGCTGGGGCGCCGCTCTCGCGCCGTGCGTGCACGGCTGGGCCGCGCGTCTCGAATGCCATGCCCGGGGCACGGGACTCGGCCCTCGAAGTTCGGGGGCGGAGAAGAGGGAGGTGATGACTAGGGGGGGGTGGATGTCATGGCGGGGGCCATGATATTTCCCCAGATTTCATGGCGCCTCTTCCTGTTTCATTACGTCCCTGGCCCCCTCGCTGGGCCGCGCACATGCCGCCGGTCATGATCTGCACCCCCCCCTCTTGGACACCCCCCTCTTGGCCGCTCCCGAGAAGTGAGAATAACCAAATGCCGCCACCGTGTTCGCATGCTGCCTCGCGCGGCGCGGTCTGGGCCGGAGAGCTGCCCTCCTCCAGGGGCGACGGCGCAGGGGGGGCGCGAAGGTGCGCGCGCGCCGCGCCTCGCGCGGGAGGCGAGCGGCCGGGGACGGCAAGCATCGAAGAAGAGCAAGCGACACGGCTTTTCGCAGATCTTTCGGATCTGGGCTGGACCCCCCCTGGCGTGCTCCAGCGAGACGGGCCCAACGCCGATCCGAGGAGGCTTCACAGACCTCCGCAGCTTCAGTCATGTCGGTGCAGTCTTCTCTCCTTCGGGTGGCGCCGCCCTCCTTTGCCCCTCCCCGATCGCGCGCTCCCCGGAAGGGTGACGGCGCCCGACATGCTGCCTGGCCACAAGACGCCACTGGAGGACGCCATGCGTTTCTCTCGGGGTGTCCTCCGAGCGGGTGTCGTGTACATCTCCTCCCTCCATCCTCTCATCTCCTGCACGCTCTTCGCTCTCGCTTCCTCCAGCCCATCCCGCCCCCCTCTATCCGTCCCTCCCTTTCCTCCTGTCCTTCTGCCTCTCCCTTCGGTCCTTTATCTCTCCTCCCTCCACATGGTCTTACTCCGCCTGGCCTTTCTGCTGCTGCTGCTGCTGCTGCTCGTCCCCTTTTTCGTTGCTGATGCCGATCCTCCCCCTCGGAAGTATATGTTATATGTGCTGATCTGTATGGAGGGCGAGTGTTTTCGTACAAAGGGGCTAGGCTGACTAGCAGGCTGATTGCAGCAACCTCGGGCTTGAAGGTTGTGCGTATCAAAGGGACTGCCATCACGCTGTGCTTTGCAAAACACTTGTGATGTCTCATTGCCGAGACTCGTATCGATAACCGCATGGGAACTTTGCAGTTGCTATTCCAAGTCTCGACCCCCCTTGCAAATTTTGGGTCCGCGGTTGGTAGCAGGAGCAAATTCTGTGAGGCGGGGATTTATCCACATCCACCGCCTGGGAAACGACGTCCTGGTGCCCCAGCGGGCGGTGGATATGGATGTGTTTTGGTCCCCGGGGGCCCGAACGCATCCCTATCCACCGCCTGCGAGGTCCCCGAGAACTGATCCTCCAGGCTCCAGTCGCCGGCTGGCCTCCGGCCGCCGTGGGTCGACTGGTGCTGCCGCATCCGACGGCGACGGAGGAGCAGGGGGTGGGAGCAGGCACGTTCCTCTCGGCCCTGGGGTTCGTCCGACACCACGGCCGAGCGGGCCAAGCGGACAGCTTCATCATCTCCTCACACCCGCAGCACCCTGGACGGTGCCCGCGCGCGGGAGTGTCTGTCTGTCTGTCCTGGGGTTCGTCCCGGTCAGTCTGCTGCAGCCTCCTGGAGCTCTCGATCTCAGGGGGCCGCCTTCCCAGGGTCCGCGGGCTGCTGGCGCTGGGCTCGCCTTGGGGTCGTCTGCTTGCCTGAGCGGGTAGGTGTGGCCAGCGTGCGCTTCCGTCCGTGCGGACGCTGAGGCGTCGGTCACCGCCCGCTCCCTGACGCTACGGGCCGTGGCGCCCAGCAGCCTCGTCAAGCGATAGGTGGGAGCAAGATCCCCCGCCATTCGACAGCACGACCAAGTTCACGAGACACTGACGCGTGGTCGTTGTTTTTTGCCGATCGGCGCGGGCCCCTCCCCCCCCTCCCCCTCCCTGGGGTGGATCTTGGCTGTTTTGGGCGCCTGTTTTCAAGCAGGCGGAGGTTCACAGGGCGCACTGTTGCAAACAGTCCCCCCCTTTCCCTTTCCGCCCAATGTCGAAACGCCGAATAAAAGACGCTCACCATTTGACAGCACGACCAAGTTTATGAGAAACTAACGCATGGAAGTCGCCACCGGGGAGATCGGCACAGACATCGCGGCGAGCCGCCGCGGAGCTGCGCATCTGGCTGCTCTCAGGGGCGAGGCCCAGGAAGCGTGCGCGGAACTCGAGTCCGATCATACCATGGGCGACGTGTCAGTACAGGTGTTTCTCATGTACCTCAAGAGATGGATGTCAGAAGCCGACGTGCAGGATACGTCAGCGATACTAGAGACGTTTGTCAAGCGGCCATGCGTCTGGCGCAAGTTCGAGGGTATTCGCGGCTGCGGCAATCGTTTCAAGCTCATCAACACCAAATTCTAGACGCTTCGCGTATCCCCACCAGCCCGTCCAGAAATGAGTCCCAGGGGAGTGGAGGTTATGAGGGAAGCGGGGGAGCATGCAGAAGAACAAAGGGCGGGGTGAGCCGCCATATACCCCAAGAGGGGGAGGATGTAGGAGGAGCCGTCGTCGTCGGAGTAGGAGGATGAAGAGGAGGAGCAGGAGGAGGAGCAGGAGGAGGAGGAGGAGGAAGATAAGGAGGAGGAGATGGAGGACTGCGAGGACGAGGAGGACGAGAAGGAGGAAAAGGAGAAGGAGGAGGAGGAGGAGGAGGAGGAGGAGGAGGGGGAGGGGGAGGAGGGAGGAGGAAGAAAAAGAGGAGGAGGAGGAGGAGGAGGAGGAGGAGGAGGACAATTGCGAGCTTGGGGGCCTCTTGGGCCGTCCTTGGGGCCTCTTGGCGGTCCCGGGGGCCTCTTGCGTATCTCGGGGAGCCTCTTGTGGCCTCTTGGGGGTCTCTTGGGGGCCTCTTGGAGGCCTCTTGGGGGCCTCTTGGGGCCTCTTGGGGCCCTCTTGGGGCGCTCTTGGGGCGCTCTTGGGAGCCTTCGAGGCGCTCTTGGGGCCATCTTGGAGGAGATCTATCAAAGAAGGGGGGGTCCCCAATTAGCGCTGCCCCTCTAGAGTGCCTCGAGTCGCCTCTTGGGCGCCCCAAGAGGCCAAAATCCTTCCAAAACCTAGGTAAAATCAATGTTTGTTGTTTTCTCGCCTTTTCGCTCTTGGAGCCGTCTTGGGTCATCTTGGACTCTCTTGGGGCCTCTTGGGGGTCTCTTGGCAACGTCTTGGAGGCTTCTTGGGGGCCTCTTGGGGTCTCTTGGGGCCCTCTTGAGGCGCTCTTGGGGCGCTCTTGGGAGCCTTCGGGGCGCTCTTTGGGCCATCTTGGAGGAGATCTATCAAAGAAGGGGGGGTTGCTTATTAGCCCCGCCCCTCCAGAGTGCCTCGAGTCGCCTCTTGGGCCCCCCCAAGATGCCAAAATCCTTCCAAAACCTAGGTAAAATCAATGTTTTGTGTTTTCTCGCCTGTTCGCTCTTGGAGCTGTCTTGGGCCATCTTGGACGCTCTGACACCTCGCGACCGGCCCCGTCCAGGTCAGTGGGGAGGGGTAAGGGGAGGGGTAAACCCCCCCCGAAGGGGAAGAAGGGGGTTGGCAGAGGAAACTCCCTAGACCACCTACGCCCTAAAGGGCTGGTGGGACTCAAGGCCAAACACGTATGAGCGCCAGAAGGGATCTTGGCCGACCTCTACAACGAAGGAGCCTGACTGCCGCCAAAACATCAGGCCACGTTTTTTTTCAACGGCGTCGGCAAACAAAGGTTCGACCATGTCAAGCTGCAAGCGCAGCTCGTGATCAGCCTGCCGAAGGTGGCAGGCATGGACTGCCACAGCCACAAAGCGGGCAGCGCGCACGCAAAAGGCTACGGCGGACAGGCGTGGATGGGAACCACCAGCGTCGACAAGCTTGGAGGATTTAGCTTCTGAAGCCAGCTCCCAGGTGGAGTGTTTCTCCGAAGGGCTCAGGCGACCCGTCCTCCTCCTCCTCCTCCTCCTCCTCCTCTTCCTCCCTCCTCCTCCTCTTCCTCCTCCTCCTCCATTTCCTCCATCTCCTCCTCCCCCTCCACCTCCACCTCCTCCTCCTCCTCCTCCTCCTCCGCGGGTCGTCTACGGCCCGGGGGGAAACCGTGCACTCCAAGGTGCCCAGCGACGTGCCTCACGAGCTGCTGGACGTGTGGACGCCGCAGAGAAGCAGGTGTGATGCTGTGGGCGAAGGGCAACGTCGAGGAGGCCAAGTTGGCTAGGGGCTCCTTCGCCGAACGAGACGGCGGCAAGCACCGCCGTGCCAGGACGACGTCCAAACCGTGAAGATGAAGGCGAGGACTCATTGTGGGGCCTGCGGCGAGAAGAGCCACTGGGGCGGCGACCCGCAGTGCAATGCTCAGAGTGACCCGACGGCGTGCGGACATCCCCAGGAAGGGCTTCGACAGCACGAACATGGCGACACACTCGGAGTCAGGAGCGGAGCTGCCGCAAGGGCCGCGTGTCGCCGAGATGACGGTCGCGCTGGTCTACCACCAGTACCGTGGACCGAGCGGGCGGCCAGGTCCCAGCAGAGCCAGGCCGAATACCCCATGCAGCTGCCCGCGGAGGTCACCGCGGTGCAGCTCTACATCCACATCGGCAACCTCTGCTTCATGGCCTCGACCGGATCAGCGCTGGTGTTCGCCAGCGTCGGGGAGGACCTCCTGAGGGAGTCGGGCAAGCTGACCTTCGACGCGGCCTGGTCGAAACGCGTCGGAGGCTTCGATTGGTATGGCGGCATGACAGGAGACGCTTGCTGCCTTCGGCATCAAACGAGTAACCCGAGAAGGAACCGTTCAGGTTTGGAGCATCCAGTTTCTAACGCCTCGATGCGCCGCACATTCCGTGCTCGGTGCGAGGCAAGCGTTCTGGCATCGTGGGGAGCGCCGCCCCCGAATTATTCAGCAGAAAGGAAAGCCCGCGAGTTCCGGCGTTGGGAGAAGCCCCAGCGCGCTTCGCTTTGCACAACAGCTGCCAGATCTCCTTGCCGAGATGGCTGCCGATGGCCCCATCGTAGCTGCTTTTACCGTCGCTATTCCAGACGCCTCTGTTGCTGTTCTGGTTCTACGTCCCACACGCCCCGCTCCTTCGGGGTGTGGCCGGGGGTGTCCGTAGGCCAAGGTGTCCCCAGGATTTCCCCAAGGAGGCCCGGACGGCCTCCCGAGCACCCCCCCCGACCCCCAAGGGGCCCCCCAGACGCTGCAAAGTGGCGCGACAGGTTGGGGCCCCGTGGGCCCAGGGTCCGGGCGCGCTTTCAGCCGCCCCCCGATCCTCGACTGGTGGTTCGGGCGAGGAGGTTCCGCGAGAGACTTCTCGTTGGGGCGCCGCGCGCAAAGTTAGCCTATAGGCAGGGCGCGCGAGCGGGTTGTCTGCTCCTGCCTGCGCGCTGGCCGCAGCCCATCTCGGCCTCTAAGAGGTTGCAGGTGGTCGCCGAATCAGGAGTCCTGATTCGGCGACCACCTGCGAACCGTGCCTTTGTTGGATCGGCGCTGGGGATGGGGCGCCCCCGCTGGGGCTCACTCGGCTGCACACAGCCAGACATCCCTCAAATTCTGCCCCCACCCCCGCCCCTCGCCCGGTTCTCTGAACACCAGATTGCGGGGGTCGGGTTCGCGTGTGGCCGCCTCTGTACGCGGACAGGCCAAGGGGCTGAGCAGTTCTTGCTCCGCGCGGCTGCTCACGGCC